CACATGTCGCTATCTATAATATACTATGTATGTATTTATGTATGTATAAAGTAACGTGACTGAGTCATTAGAACGTTCGATTTCCGACCAGGAGATCAGGGTTTGAATTTCACCATGGTAGACTTATCAACATGGTAGATTTACGACCGATATTATCGGCTTTGGAAAGAGATCCTAGCGTGCGTCAACTATGGAAAGTTTCAACCCGCCGAAAGTTGTGCAAGTATCGTAACTGAATGTGCGAGCGTACTTGGCCCTGTTTAGACAGTTAAACCCACCAGGCTGCGAACTCTACCAGAAACGTTTAATAAGCTTAACATAATTGCAGTGTATACATAAAATAAGTCTGAACAAACACATATGTGCCTAAGCAGCTGTCTTTAAAATGACCTGGCTAGCCGCCCTAGCTGACAGGCATACACAGATACAAGACGCCCTGTTAAATGTAGTTATATATAAATACTCATTTTATCGTGTGAATTTCGGCTTTAAATAATCATTTCAGTGTGTTTTGGATTCAATATCTAGAAAGTGCAGATGATTCACAAAGAATTGGATGAGTCTAATGTTTATTACGAAGGCAACACAGCTCGAGAAAACTCACTCTGATCGTTCCGATGAGAAAAGATCTACTAAATTTGTTGTTCAAGTCCTTAGACTCAACATAGAGGCCTATATCAGGTGTCTTGAGGAGGTAGTGCTGGCCTGAATCAAGAGGATGGCTAGTAGAAGACCCCATGTCTGGCAACATAACACTTCACTATGTCACACAAACAGAAGAACACAGTCATGGCTGTCAAACAATTTCTGCGATCACATCCCCCTTTATATCTGGCCACCTAATTCCCAAGACTGCAAACCCGTTCGTTATTATGCGTGGTGTTGAGCGAGAGACCAACAAAACTCTTGTAACGCCAAAGATGACCGCCCAGAAAAGATGAAGGAGATTTAGAAATCGTCTCGAGACCGTAGTTGAAGCCAATGGTGATTTTATTGATTACATTATTATTTCAAGTTATTTTTGTGTAATTTTTGGTAAATATATCTGTTAAATGAGATGTCAATGTTTATTTTCATTCTTGCGTAATTTAGACGTAAATTTATCCATCGCACACTACGTATATGCTGGTGTTCGTTTTCGCATTTACAAGAAAAGAAATATTGTACTTGTTAAATTATTAAAAGACTCATTTTAAGCGTAATTGGTTCGTATGCAGTACACATCTTTTGATGCAAGAGTCTGTCATTTGCGTACGTGTAAACTGGTTAATTGACAGTTTTGCGAAATTTATAAACACGCCACTTAGTGGCAGATTGTGCAGGCTATAAACGCATTTAATAACATGCAGGTATGAAATGACCTTCCGCTGCAATTAATATATCGCTTCATTATCAGGACACCATATGGATTGGGCTCAGTTCCAGGAAATAATTGTATATGAGAAAGGAATACTTTAGATAGCGAAAAAGCATTATTTATCAGCACCGAACATGATATATTGTTTAGTGACGAAGATTAAGAGATTGATTTCGACCAGGTGTTTTGCTCAAGCGAATATAATGACGCTATTTTCTTCCTGGATCTAACAGAGGGAAGGATATAAAGTAAGCAGGAACTCGATATTTAAAGGTATCCCTGAAATAGGTAAGTGAGTTGTTAAGTTTCGGTTCCTGAAGAAAAAAAAAAGAAATGTTAGGGAAACAACGATCAGATAGAGAGAATCGAGAAGAGGTTGTTAATAGATGAAACTAAGTCACGGAAATGATAAGGAGGTGTGCTTTATCCATTAACTCCTGTGTTATAGAGAGGATTATGGTTTAAAACAGAACATAACCAGATACAAGTATTTTTCGCGTGGTGGAGGACAAATATATAATTAACATGAATAGGATAAAGTAAAGAAGAGAAACGCGAGAAATACGAAGATAATCCGTTAATCCATTGATTGGTTGCGATGGTAACGTTAATGTATTAGCCGTTTCTCTACAAGGAAACATTTGGCATGCATTGACAGAGCAGCCATTACTGCTTTTGGTTGGCATTTATAAAGCCTTTCTCGTAAAATGGGAAATAAAAAAAACAAAACAAATATACTTGAACTATATTGGAGAATTACCGTGAGATCCAACTGATATTGGTGCTTTCTAAAGAATAAATCATTGCAAAATAGATATATTAAAAAATAATCGCCTAAAATATCTTCAGTCATAAGCATAAGTAACATGATGATTGACTTTATACGAATATGTCCTGGTATACTGTCAAACAGAGAGGAAACTTTATATATATCACCATTATAATGTTAATAGTAATATTAGCCGTTTCCTTATAAGGAAATATTTTACATTGAATGACCGAGCAGACAGTACTACCGTCGTTTGAAATTTATAAAATCTTTATCTTAAAACAATCTTTCAGGAAAATAGGTTCCTCAAATCCAGTAGAATTTATCGCTTTTCCAGTAGTAATAGAGATTTCCTGCCCAAATTATCTTTGAAGTAGTGTGGAATATCAAAATCTTGATTTTGCCATTATTTTTTCTTCGAGATTCATGCACTATCTATTTTAATGTTAATGATGTTGATAATTCTCAAGAGATGTTGTTTTCTGTTAATTGGTACAGTATTTTGTTCGTGATTCTCTAGCCGCAGTCCACAATGTTCGAAGAAGTATGGTATTTGGTAAGACCCCTAGATTTCACTCACTCAAAGCCATTTAAACCATTGATCTTAGGAAGCGGTTGTCTACAGCTGTCAGTTTAGATGTTTCTGAAAGAATTTAGCACTGTGCATGATATTCATATGAAAGTCTCGATCCGACGAGGATATTTTAGAAAATGACTCTAGTTTTCCCTTTGATGTTTTCGTTTTGGAGCAATTAGCTGAGTTGGGTGTAAC